AGCATCTGTCAAAATGTGAGACAAGAATAGGAACATCTCTTATAAAATGGCACTTTGCCACAGTGGATTTTGCATCAATGTTTGTTAAGATTGTTGGTTTTTTTTTAAAATGTTTATGCTTGTTGAATGGGACCAAAATATATTATGAATTTATATAGTAAATTATTGAAATAAACATAAAAATAAACATTATAGCCAGTTAAAAATTATATAGTAATATATGTGTGAGAAACCACAATTGGTGTTTCAAATGGCCCAAATGACCTGGCTCTTTGCCCAGGCCTTTGACAAGCATGGTTGAAGCTCCCTCCTTTTTTCCCCCTTTTCTTTGTTCTTATCTGGGTTTATTATCTCTGCCACCTTTGTTCCTTTTTTTGTTTTGCATTGTTTTCTTGTTTTAAATGGTTTTAACAGTTTGTAAACTAGGAGTTGGGTAGCATATAAATTTAATAAATAATAATAATTCATTTCTTTCATTAATCTTGCACAACCATTTTATTTATTTATTTTACATGTTAAATTTATTTGCTACTCTTTTCATATCAAAGCCACTCTAAGCAGCTTTTTTTATATATTGTTAGCTACAATTTTTTTTATCATCTCCTGAATCGTAAACACTGAACCTAAGGGAAACAAAAAAAATAACGCTCATTTGATATCATTATTTTGATCACATTGCTGTGATTTCACTGAAGGTACACTGTGGCTTCTGACATTAGACAAAGAGCGACAAGGAATGCTTGGCAAATAGAAGGTATCTTCGTGGATATGAATTCTAGCTACAATATATTAGAAAGGCTACTGAAGCATTTAGATGCACTGTGTAGGATATGAATTATGAATGTTGTTGCATATGAAATGTACATAAAATAAATGTGAGATTCTCAGATTATGCTCCTAGGGCATCTTCTTCCGTGTTCAGTATTTAGCAACCCTGAAATTCTGTTATATAGAGAATATACAGTATAACATATAGAAGGTTATTGAATTCTGAACTGAGAACAGATGAAGGCAAAAAGCTTTAATCCATACAGAATGGTAACACTATGAGTAAAGAAGGAAGATGGATAATACACCTGGTTGTAGACCAAAGCACAGCACAGGAATGCTTTTGGAGATGGCAAAACTGACATGGTGGTAGTAGTCAGAAGTACTATTTTACCAACTATGGTTCTATTCTAAGAAAGCTACTCTTTCCTCTACTACTCATGATCTATTCATGCTAGACCAGTGATGGCGAACCTTTTAGAGACCGAGTGCCCAAACTGCAACCCAAAACCCACTTATGTATCATCGGGTGCCAGATGGGCGTGGCCCATTGGGTGGGCGTGGCTGCGGTGGTAACGGCAGACTGGGTGGGACTAAAAAGTTCAATCAATTCCAACTTTGCAAGATCTTTTTTTCCCCGTGAGAAATTGAAATTGAATAATAATAATAATAATAATAATAATAATAATAATAATAATAATAATAATAATAATAATAATAATAAAGTTGGAAAGGACCTTGGAGGTCATCTAGTCCAACCCCCTGCTCAGGCAGGAAACCCTATACCATTTCGGACAAATGGCTGTCCAGTTTCTTCTTAAAAACTTCCAGTGTTGGAGCATTCGCCGCTTCTGGAGGCAGGTTGTTCCACTGGTTAATTGTTCTAACTGTCAAGAAGTTTCTCCTTAGTTCTAGGTTGCTTCTCTCTTTGGTTAGTTTCCACCCGTTGCTTCTTGTCCTGCCTTCAGGCGCTTTGGAAAATAGCTTGACTCCCTCTTCTTTGTGGCAGCCCCTGAGATATTGGAATTGATTGATTGAACCTTTTTTTTTTTTTGCACACGGCGTCGGAGACCTAAAGCAAAAAGGTTTTATAAAACCCAGCTGAATGCCTAGGACTGGGGTGACGGCGCGTGTGCCCACAGAGAGGGCTCTGTGTGCCACCTGTGGCATGCGTGCCATAGGTTCGCCACCACGGTGCTGGACTATTGTAATGTACCCTACGTAGTGCTGCTTTTAAAGATGATTTGGAATCTTCCTTCTGTTCTGTCTGACTTTTGGAGGATTAGACTCCCAACTCATATGGCATCAATACTGAGCCAATTATTATTTCAAAGTCTTTCTTCATTCAGCTTTTTGCCCTCATCATCAGGGAAACCGCTTTCTTGTCCACCATTAATATCATCTAAATTGGTGGGTTTTCTGCTTTTCATCAGAAGCTCTGTACCATTAGAGTGAGCATCCACTGAGGACTGGCCAAGCTCCTGCGTGAACTTCAAAAATGACCCCATTTCCTCATTCATAAATAATCTTTAGAAGCTGGTGAAAATGTTCTTCAGGGGTCTCATTTTTCCTTAATATTTTTATCAATGGCTATTTTCCCATTTTAGTTATTTAATTGTAAATATTTTTTATTATTGCTGTTATGCTTTTCTGATGCTGTTTGGTATTTATGTATTATTACAGTATTTTTAATAGCTGTTACGAGAATAGGCAAAACAGAAATATTTAGAAGAATAAGTTTAAAAAACCATTTACTCTCATTTTCATTTTCTCAAACTGCATTTTGGGACTACGGATCTTACTTACTACTTTCATTCATTTGCATTGCTTTGGAATTTTATTTTGAATTATTTTGAATTATTATTATATATGTGAACTGTGCAAAGGCACCAGTTTTAAAAGTGGTGTAAATTGAAATAAAGGAAGTGGTAAACAAGAAGCATGAAACAAACCCCAGTTCTCTTTCTTTCTCTCTCTCTTTTTTACTTAGAAATGTATTTGGGGACTGGATAATTAGGAATTGAGAAGTTGAAGAAGAGTTCAACTATACATGTTGATTTACTTCAATCATAAAGAGTTCAAGATACACATATACACATACGTACATACATATACACCCAAGCAGTTACTGGAAATCACATGGGCAAGAAACTAGCGTGGGGGATGATTCACAAGGGGAAAAAAACAGCAGATGAGAAAAGAATGAAACATCCCCATTTTCCCAAAGCAGCACAATAAATTGAATTTGCCTGATACAACTGTTCACCAATGTCAATTGTTGAAACTTTCTTAGAGTGAATGTGTGGAAGGTATAATATGTCTCTTACAGCAGAGGTCCCCAATCTTTTGGGCACCAGGGGCCGGTTCCGTGGAGAAAGATTTTTCCGTGGACCAGAGAGTGCGTGGTTTTGTGTGCTGCCTGCATCCCACAGATGGGGCTTTGCTTGTTTGTGTGGACCGGTTGCTGGCATGCCGCGGCCCGGTACAGGTCCACGGCCCGGTGGTTGGGGACCCCTGTTTTACAGATTCTATTTTTAAATGGGAGCTTCTCTATTAGTGCAATACAACAATGGCATATGGATTTTAGTGACATGGCATGGCTGCTGTTCTGCCAGTGTGAGCCAGCCACTGAGGTGAGTACTGTAAAAGGGGAAAACAGCTCACGTTTGGCCTTGAATGTGAGGGCTGATGAAGTAACCTGATTGCTAGCCAGAGATTTGTGGTCAGATTTTGGTGATAACAGTCCCATTGGTCCTGCCTCAGTTGCTGGGAGACATGCTGCTAGTCTAATTTAAAATTGAGAAGAGGAGAGGAGAGGAGGGAGAGGAGAGGAGAGGAGAGGAGAGGGAAAGTCTTATAGAATGGATGGGTTGGAGAGAAAACTTGGAGAGTGTAATTAAGTGTGCAGAGCAGTTGTTGTTTTCTGGCTGGGAAACGTAATGGTATGTGGGAATGACCTTAGGAGATAAGAGAAAGAACTGCAGCCTAGACGATGATCTAATAAGCAAGGAAGGGTACTTTCCGAGTTGCAAGATTCTATTAGTGTAACCTTACAATAAAGACAGATGTAGAAGTTCTGATTGTGCTTTTTATCTGGAGTACCTTGCTAGACCTAATATCAATCTTGCAAGTCTAAAAATACCCTTCCCTTCCTCTCCTGTCTCCCAAGGTCGTTCCCACATATTATTCCAGGAAGGGAGAAGAAAAATCGAGAGGTGGCTTCCCTGGAAGAATGGAAATGGACCCAGAGGGATGAGAGCTCCACTCCAAGCCTAAGAATGAGGAGAAAGAAAAACCCAGCTCGCTGTGGGCAGCAACTTCACTCAACACCCCAGAGGGGAAGGAAGGGATCAATTGTCAGCGGAAAAACCCTGATCTTTGGAGAATGACTGAGCAGTAGACCCTGGGAAATGTTCTTCCCCCAATGGAGAAGCAGGAGGTGTTTGGTTAAGCAGTTCCAGAAGGAGATCAAACCACATTGAGCACACTACAGTCCATTCCAGTCCATTCCTTTCTTTTTCTCTGTCTCTTGTCAAACCCAGAAATTGGGGGGAGGGAAGGAGGGAGGGAGGGGAGGGGGGGGAGGAATCAGACTCCTAAAGGGGAATGGTATCTTGGAGGGAGATTTAGGAGGAAACCTGACACCAGTATTGTATACCTGTTGCACCTGTTGTTATTGCCTGCTGTAAATAATGTGATAGTATACAGTAAAAAGGATAGAAACCTCCACAGTCATGTTTTTCCCTATCAGTTGTCACCCTTGCAAAACAATAAACCCCTGGTTCAAAAAAGAACTCTGCTACGTTGTGACAACCGTGTCTGTTGAAACATTAACATTAATTGGCTAATAACATATGATGATCCCTGTTGATTTCAAATGCCACAAGGCCAGAATGATTTCATTTCTAGCTTTAGCTGTTGAATCAATAACTGTTAGCATTTAGGGTAGTCATAGCTCTCAGACTGCTCCTTCAGAGTTTCGCTGCCTTTTGCAAACACAGAGATGTGAAGTGACAATTCTATTCTGATAGTTTAAATATACAAAAAAAATTTTTTTTAAAAAAAATGGCTAACATTCCATCCACAACCATTAGTGAAATGCACCATGAACAATCGCAACAGGAGTAATCCCCGCAGTCTGCAGAAAGCTCTAGGACATTGTGAACTACATTCCATTTAAACAGCACATTTTGAATAAAAAAGAGAATACGTTTATAATACTTTTATCTTACTTGTAACTTCTTTCCCAGAACTTGACTGGTCTGGCATACGATGTGAGAAAAATGACACTCCCTAGAAATGGGCTCAAGGGAGTAGAAAAGATTGCAGTAGCCAGAGTCTGACAGAAAAGCATTGCAGAGTCTGAAAGCTTCAAGTTAAGGTAGCATAAATAGATTTCACTGGTGGATTTTACGATGCCCTTTAAGGTGCTTCCTGACTTACTTAGTTTCCTTTCCAAAAGACAAGTGCAGCAAAGTAATGGGTAAGAGCTAAAGAACCAAGAAGAACTGGGATTATTTAGAATTCGATGTAATGAAAATACTGAAGCTACAACACAATGAACTCATAATTCATGTTAATTTGGGACAGAAAGTCATAATTAAGTGCAAGGGGGAAAAAAGGCAGAGGAAACAAATGGAAAAGATTAGTGGAAGGCAGCAAAACTCTAGAGGAAGTCCATGTCGAATAGTGAAATGAGCAACTAATAGTGTGAATATTACAGGTTCCTCTGCAATCACAGTTGGCCTATGGATCTCTCTGCCTCTAGTAAGTTGAACATTTATCCTTGAAGTTAATTATTTCTATCTTATCCCATAGTTCTTTTAAATTCAAATATATACAAAGATTCAACCCATATAAATACCTATGGAGATTCCCAGTCATCAAGGTCATTGTGGTCCCAAAGGCGCTTTTTCAAGAGGCAACTGGACTTTCAATTCAGAGGTGTAGATCAGTGGTTCTCAACCTTTTTAATGCCGCGACCCCCAACCGGTCGTAAGTCGAGGACTCAACCGGTCGTAAGTCGAGGACTAAACCGGTCGTAAGTCGAGGACTAAACCGGTCGTAAGTTGAGGATTACCCAACCGGTCGTAAGTCGAGGACTTTCCCTGCCCGGGAGCGCCGCGCATGCGTGGTTCGGCCCCCTGTGCCGGCCAAGGCATAGCTGGCAGGCGGCAGAGACGGAGCAGGCTGACCACCAGCTGGCCCAGCTCAAGGGAGGTAAGGCACCCGCCGGAAAAGGGGAAAAAAATGGCGGACAGCCTTGCTTGGCGACCCCCGTGAAATGGTCGATCGACCCCAAATGGGGTCGCAACCCATAGGTTGAGAACCGCTGGTGTAGAGGCTTCTTGGATGAGAAGCGAAACGTCTTCAAAGAAAAACAAAAGAAGTCCAGTTGCCTCTTGAAAAAGCATCTTTGGGACAACCCATATAAATGTTCCCCTGAAATGAAAGGAAAAAGGCTTGCAAATTACTGATAAAGAAAAAAATATATAATGTAATCTGCCAGAGTACTGTAAGTGACAACCTTAAAAAGCATTTTCCCTGTCATTTAGGAAGTATTTCATCTAGTGTGTAAATACAGAAACTTAGAGGGGAAAAGATTTTTATTAACTTGGCAGAAATTGGTTTATACAATTTGTGAAAGTGTCAGGGACATACTCTCCTTTTTTAAAAAATTACATACACAACTGCACAACAGATAATGAAACACATTTCTCATTTCCTATCTTACCTTACTTTTATCTATTTAATAACACAAATTTCATTTCCCCAAGTATTGTACATAGCTAATCCCCTTGGAATGATGTACTTAAAAAAGGAACAAAACAAACAAAACAAAACAATGGCGGTCTATACAAATTACTCACAGGCCTCAGGCTGAATACGCAACAAAACAGCAAACAGCTTTCTTAAAAGGATATGAGGTATTGCAAAGAGCTGAGCAAACACATGGAAAGATGAGCCCCAGGCAATCTGCCAAGGAGCAATATAAGTCATTATGAACTGTAATTTCTGTAGTAGATCCCACAGCTGAAAATGAAAGAGAGAGAGAAAAAAATGATGAGAGCATCCATAAAGTCTATTTAAAAAAACAACACTAAGCACTTCGGTTTCTGTATTTACTACAAGTCTACAAAGATTCTTCCTACACAATTATACTTAGATGTTAAGATTCAATTCAATCATCAAAATGGAATTCTTTTTTATAATCTGAGGACAATTAGCCAGAATAATCTCATGAAATATGTCAGATAGAATGCTTCACATTATTTCATTTTTTTAAAAAACGGGATTTTCTGTTTTAAAAAGTTTAAAAAGTTAACTTTTGTAACCCATATAATCCCAAACTGAGTGGGATAGGGTGGGGGGGGGGGAAATGTATAAGGATGTTCAACTCCATTTTTATTAGCACATTCCATGCCTCATTGTCCTAAATGATATTCATTGTTAGGAAAAGAAATAAGGCCAGGCTGCATCCCGCCTGCTTTAAAATAAACTTTCCCCAAGATCTGATATTGATTGAAGTGCAAGTAGTCCTCATCTTACAACCATTCTTTTAGTGACCACTTAAGGTTACAATGGCTCTGGAAAAAAAGGGATTTATAACCAGTCCTTGCACTTACAACCAGTGCAGCATCCCACAGTCACGTGATCAAATTTGAGTGCTTGGAAACTGACATGTATTTACAACAGTTGTTAGCGTCCTGGGGTCACGTGATCACCATGTGCGACCTGCCCAGCCAGCTTCAGCAAGCAAAGTCAATGGGGGAAGGCAGATTTACTTAGCAATTGCGTGAGTCACTTAACTGCAGTGATTTGGTTAACCAATTGTGGCAAAGAAGGTTGCAAAATTGGGCACAACTCACTTAACAACCACCTTGCTTAACAACAGAAATTCTGATCTCAATTTTCATCGTAAGTCAAGGACTAGCGGTAGTATAAAAGCACTTGTACACATACACACACATAAACACATGTACAGTACACACAGAGAGAATTATGATAGGAGCGGCCTGTGAAAGTAAGGCCATATCTCTATGAATCAAGATTCAAGACAAATGCACTAAAAAAAGTGTTTCTACAAATGGGAATTAGCATATTTTCTCTTCCCTTCCACAAATCCAACTTTTTACAATTCCTTTTCACCAAAGGCAGGAGGAGGAATGGAATTATAACCTTAACCAGGCCTTTTCAGCAAAATCTGCAGCTAGACAAATTATATGAATCATGAATATTAGTAAACATTATGTAAACCTGCTCAAATTTACAGAACACCGATCGATACGACATTTCTGTGTTATCACAGTTCTTTAGGGTTTCTTTTTAATGCAGAATTCATAACTCCAAGTTTTACAGCCCTGGTAACTACATAACTATCAGACGTTTTCCTGATTCCATTACTGAGATTGAGTTGTAAAAAAAAAACATAGCCAAAGAGAGAAAATATTTGTCAATTTGTGGTGCAGTATAATTTCAATTTATCCTTCTAATGTGCATTACTCATGAACATGTTCAGTGATCTTTCTGCATCTTTAGAGAAAATTGGCCAAGCTAGAGGATTAACAAATAGCTGACACTGAAGATTCCTCTTTGCATGATAGCTTGTTTTTATAACTCCAATTCATAAACATCTCAAGAAACACTATGGGTGTTCCTTTGTCTTCTGTTATTTCTTTATTCTTGAAAATTAGAAGTAGTAGTAGTCTTAAAAATAGAAGTGGATGGCCTGCAGAAGACCAGTAGACATACCAGCACTTCTTTGGGGATCTTCTTTGGGGGAGGGAGCATTTCTGGCTTTTTTTAAAAAAAACATTTTTAAGGATTGGGATTTTTAAGAAGAGATGAGATGGATGCTTTGAACTTAAACTCTAAAGGATCAGGCCTATTTTTACTCTTTGTAGGGAGTGGAAGACAGTGTTTAAATCCCCACTTAGCCTGCTAAATCTGTTCACCGTCACTCATATCTTAGTTGGACTACTGCAATGCATTCTACATGGGGTGACCCCTGAAGAGCATTCAAAAGCTGCAACTAGTCTGAAATTCAGCAGTGAGTGTTAAGACAACCATTAACTCAAGCAATGTGGAAAAAAATATTTCTGGATCAATCGGTCGATAGGTAATGGATCCAAGAAATTGTGGCAAAAAGCATTGCACATCAGTAGACTATCAGCTAGCTAGACCGTGTTAGTTGAGAATTAGATGATACCATTTACTCTACAGGGGACAAAATTCTCTTCTTCAACATGTAATATAATTTCACCTTACCAAAAATACTCTAGGGAATGTAAGAAATCTACCAATACAATCTGAAAGGTAGTGAAAAAGACTAGAGAAACTTCCACTGAATCAAAGATTCTTCTTGAGATACTTCATTACAATCAGTTGTCACGTCTAAAGAAGTCCCAGCAGGTGGCTTGCGCAGCTGAGCAGATTATGTTGGCAGGTTCATTCTGAAACATTTTTTCCATAAAATATTCTGACAGTCTTTCACCTAACTGACAATCAGAACCAAGCATTCACTTGCCAAAACACATGGACTAAACCAAGCACGTCTTGCATTTCAGACTAAGCTAGAGAATATCTGTTCAACAAAGATGTTGAAATCAAAAATAGTATTTTATCTGATAACTGACAAAACAAAGAACAGCATATTTCTGCGACCAGGAACATTGCCTTTGCTATATGGTACGATAAGCCTTGATGACCCAAACCACTGAATTATTTTTTTTTAAATGATATATTACCTTTTTCCTGCATCTTCTACATAACTAAAACCATAAGAAACAGGTACATAATATTGTCTGTGGAATGGTATATTAGAAAGCCACATAAATAGGAAACTAAATTGTTGAGAAAATAATCTATATTCAGATTTTTGGAATTCAAATATTATACATTTGCAGTTGTACCACTTAGACAAACTGAGAGGGTTTATAAAAGGGAGGTTATGGGCTACATTATGTAGTGCAATATTTCTGAGTGATTTAGTCTGTTTTATTTTGAAAAGTCCGTATATATTAGGGGGGAAATGATTTCAGAATCTGTTGAGTGGCTTTGCAAGGGAAAATAAGTATCAGCAATCAGTATCCAAGCAGGTCACAAAGAGAAAAGTGGTTTAGGCACTAAAGACCCCAAGCAATTATTTTGATTCACACTATTTGAGCTCCCTGCATTGCATTAATTAAAGGTAAAAGGAACCAACTGGATTTCTGATTAGCTAGCATGAGGCCGTTATTTTGGGCAATTGATTCTCAGTGACATGAAACAGCAACAAATTGTTGGCTGAATAACTGATGATTGAAATTTTATATTGGGGATAAGAGGCTCTTGTGGGATTTTTCTATTTCTGGTATCGTAAAAGCGTGACTGGCCTTCAGAGTGATGTAGTTTTGTGTCTGTATGTTTGTGTATAATTTGCTGCTTTGTCTCAGGCAATAATTATCTTGGATCAGCTCTGAAAAGGGATAAAATTATTACGATGATCAGTTTACCATTACACTACAATTATTATTACTAATAGCATCGGGGAAAAAATAATCTGCTAATCAACTGTCTAACATGATTTTATTGTAAGGTTTTTGAAGAGTAACAGAGAAACTTGACATGTACCTTCAGCCACTGCTTGATGGGATATTTGTTTTTGACATGATGATATGGAGTGAAAACACTTTAGCACTGCTGTTGAAGAAAACCTCATATCTTCAGTGAAAACTAATGTTTTGGCAGTCACTTTTACAAGGCTAGTTCCAGTTTAGATAGAGTCAAAAGTATGGCAGATAAAAATAAACTTCCTGTACTTTATTAGGTATGTTCACTGCCTTGAGTTATTTATAAAAATAATAAAGGCAGGATTAAAAAATAAAAAAAATCTATATAAATATACAGAGAAGATAGATGTATGAATACAGCTAGGCAGATTCTTTAATTTTAAAAGGGGATTCTTCAAAATGGCCTTCTTGAAATGATAACTCATGACATTGTGGGAATCTTAGAAAGTGATTCCCTTATTGATCCTATAAAATGTATCAATCTGCAAAATCACCAACTTTCTCCAATATCAGTGTTCTGATTTTCCTTCTTTGTTCCCTCATCCTTCTGCATGGAAAAAAAAAATAACACCACAGTTTGATTGATGCTACCTTGATTTTACTCATGCTTTACCCTCAGCAGTTTGCATAAGTTGCTTTTCAACAATACTTTCTTTTTCCTTAAATGAACAAAATTCATATATTCCAAATCACTAAGACCAGCAAACAATTGCCATTCTCACAACAATCTCTTTACTATCATAAAAGTATAACAATCGTCCCATCTTGCTCTTGTACAGGGGGACAAATGATACCACCAAGAATAGCTACAACTATTAACCCCGTGGATTTTAAAACTCTAAGGAAGATGAAGGGTGTTCAGAGGGTGGCCTCATGTAATGGTCTTATCCATTCTAGGGATAAGGTGAAACCCCCCCCCCCTTAGAAAGAGGTCTGGAAAGGGAAAAACACTCCAAATGAATAACTACTGACAAAAATGGTGTCATATGAGATATTCAGATTCTTAGATTGCTGGACTACATGGGTGTGCCTTTCAAGATTACTCACCACCCAGAATTGCTCTATGAGAGAGACGAATGGTTTCTAAATATGATAAAGAAATAATGTCTGCCTGAAATATGGTGAGCTTGATCAAGGGGGCTTTAATATCTGAATTTGTAGTCATTCATCTAGGCATAAGAGCAGCAGATACAGATTGTACAATGTAGAGGTGTCGTGAATTGGCAAACTCTCATTTACTCAGACAAGGGATGGCAAGCCATATTCCTCAAACTTTCATCCCAGCCTCCACTCCACAAAGGTTTCATCTAATATGCAATACTGGATATCCAATATCCCAGATGCCTGAAGAGATAGACAGGAAAGTTCATAACAAGAGCAAAATGCAAGCCTCAAATGTGGGGACAGGAAATGAAAAAGAAAACTTGCCCTTGATTTGTATAATAGCTGCTTCTCATTCCATCCTGACTGGCATGCATGCATACATAAACGAATGAACAAACAAACAAACAAAACAAAATCTTGTCTTGAGACAAAAAAAGAGATAGCTTGCAGATATGAAAGGAAGCATATCACCTGGGAAAGAGCATGAAACATTGAAAAATGTAAGCAAGACGGAGATTTGAAACAGTCATACTGAGTGTGGTATGCTAGATTGTAGGAGAAGCAAGTAGGTAAGCAAAGTCCAAGTGAGAGAAAGCCATAGTAAGAGGAAAACTATTTTTTTTTTCTGGCACTGGAGGTGAGAAAGTTCACTGAATTAAGCCAAGGAAATGTTCAATGGCCTATTATATAAATTAATGAAAAATCAGGAAGAACATTGGCTCATAAAATCTATGGCTTTCTGTCTGTGTACTAATGCTCGGTGAATGGGAATGAAATGAATTTGAATTCTATTGCAAATGTGATTAGATATTATAGGTACTGATCAGATGGTTCTCATGACTAGGACATAAAAATTGAAGGACAGCACTTGTTCAGAAGATATGGGGCAGAGAGGGAACTGGAACATGTTAATTATATCTATATTTGCCAAAACTAATGACTTGGATGAAAAGATGGACCGATTCTCATCCAAAATGCAGTTGACACAGAAGAAAGTGAGGTAGCTAATATTCTAGCCAGCAAAAACAAAATCCGAGAAGAAGTTAATATTGAAAAAGGCAAAGTTCTTCACTTAGGTAGAAGAAATCACATGCTGAGTCATATGGCAGCAGATGGTTTGTTATAGAAAAAATCTGGATCATTTCAGTAGTATGACAGGGTTTGCCAAAAAACCAAATTTGGATCACGTCAAAAGAAAAATACTTTTCAAATCACAGACCAGACTGTACTTTCTATATTGTGTTCAGCGCTAGGCACCATATTTTAAGAAAGATTCAGAAAAACTCCGATAAGTTTGGATAGGATGATTAGAGGATGGCAAACTAAGTCTCATGAGGAGAGACTTAAGGGAATTGGATACGCTTAATGTTTTAAGTCAACAAAGTAGAGCCGTGCAGTGTTTCAGAAAGAGGGAGTCAGGCTATTCTCCAAAGCGCCTGAAGGCAGGACAAGAAGCAATGGGTGGAAACTAACCAAAGAGAGAAGCAACCTAGAACTAAGGAGAAACTTCCTGACAGTTAGAACAATTAACCAGTGGAACAACCTGCCTCCAGAAGTGGTGAAAGCGCCAACACTGGAAGTTTTTAAGAAGAAACTGGACAGCCATTTGTCCGAAATGGTATAGGGTTTCCTGCCTGAGCAGGAGGTTGGACTAGATGACCTCCAAGGTCCCTTCCAACTTTATCATTATTACATGTGGATGACCAAATGCAGCATCGGACTATGATTCATTAAAGCAGCAGCTGCATCATCCAGCTGTTTTAATGACTTGGAGATGGGCTTAATTAAGGTGGCAGCACATTTCAAGCCACCTCTTCTACTTTGAATTTAAAGCATTTATCCTATATCTTCTGTCAATACAGTGTATTAAATAGCTCTTCCTTCACCTCTATGCTTGCCATACATACAGGATCAATTATCTGTGTATGCACATTGCACAATGTAGTTTTCATATGCATGTGCAAAAGGGACAACTGAAGAATGCCTTTGAAGTCACTGCGCAAAGCCTTCAGGAGGGCATAGATACATAAACGCTTTGGGGAGGGTATTTCACTCACCCCTCTGTGCTCCAGCAAATGCCCTTTTGTAACAAAGTATAATGAGTTGAAAACCAAGGAAGTGAAGGTAAAGGAATGAAAAATTAATAATTTATGTTAAAGCTGATTATATATTTGAATAATTTCCCAGAGGAGCCTTTTTGAATAAAAAAACAGAGCTATCCAAAAGTTAAATAAATATTCAAGTAGGCAGCCCCTTCATGTGTGACTCAGCAAGCCAGGTTGCAATTTATTAATAATTCTCCTTTTCAAAGCTGCTCTACTGTTATGAGTTTTGACAGCATTGTGTCAACACAGAAGTCAACATGACATTTCAAAGACACTTCACATTAAAATAATTTCTTTCTTAAGTTCTGGTAGGATACAGCAATATTTCTGCTTGATCTTTATCAGCAGGGTTTAGTTTTGTTTAATTTCTATTTAAATATGAATATGAGATCAAAACTTAGATAATACTACCATTAACAGCATTGTAACAGTTCTGCATTTTGTTTTGTTTTGAAAGAAAAAAAAATTAACTCATCCCAAGAAAACAGTTATGCCTGAAAGGAAAATGATGTTTTGAAAATCATCACTTGCCTTATTAAACACAATTGACATAATGAAGAAGTTGAATAAGAAGTTGTCGGAGAAACCTTTGTAATCAAACTTGAAGAAGATGACGGTGAAACTTAATGTAACAAACTGATGAATGGGATTGCAAAATGAGGACCGCAGTAGCTTCATTCCCGCAATTGTAATTAGAAAGATATCACAGCTGCAAAATAAAATGAAAAGAAAATTCAAATAAATTATAAATTACGTTATAATTTATTATAAACATGCGTTATAAACATGCATTGTAAACATTAGGCCTGTTTCCATTTGGTTCATTTATCTGTTAAAATTGTGTTTGCATATCCCAATCACTAAAATATGACTTATGAAAGCTTTTCTAGTAGAGAGCACTTGATTTGATTGAGGGAATTTGTGACGTTGCACTTAACTGTAGTACAGGTGGCCCTTATTTAGTGACCGCACTTGGAACCAGCAATCTCAGTCATTAAGTGAAGCAGTTGCATAAGCACAACTGTGCTTACGATCTTACTTCAGCTCTCCTTTGCTTGGCAGACCCATAATTCAGCTCTCCTTTGCTTGGCAGAAACGTTAACTTTTCCATCACTGAAGTAAGTGTGAATGGCTGCTACACAAGTAATAAAGTGGTAACGCAACATGATGGGTAAGCCAAACTCTAAAGACAACCATGTGATATCAAGATGTAAAGAAGCAAAACCTAAAAAGGAAGGGAAAAGCTTAAAGATGAAAGGATGGCATTTATCCTTATTCACAAGAACATATGGAGATTCCTCTTGCTGAATTTATATGACATAAGCACACCACTTCAGAGAAAAATATGGTGTGATTCCTGCTCACTTACAACTTGGTAAGGACTCGTCAGTATTTCTCAGTTAAATTAAAACAACCAACAAAACTAAAACAAGAGACTATATTTTGCAGGAATAATATGCCCATGCTCTTACAAGACTTTGATCCTACATGTGTTTTTACCAAAAACAGATAGGAATTTGGCTTCTGGTTTGAGTCATGGCTGACTGAAGACATCTTACAAATGACCAGAAGTGACAACTGCTGAGAAGAACAAAACACCAGCAAGCAGACCAGTCCTTCAAAATTCTCCAGAGAAGAAAATGGGAGATCACCTAGGAATGGTCTGGATGTGAGCTCCTCAAAAAGAGACCATAAAGCAGTGGTGTTCTGTGGACTTGAACACCAAGAGCCAAGGGAGATGTCACCTTGGCTCTCAGCATCTGGTTGAGTTCAAAATTGTTACAACAAACTTGCACAACTTGTAAATTTCCAAGTCTATTGTAGTCTAATAGCCCCATCTGTTAATCCCTAGGTTCTTCTCTCATAGTTTTTCTAACTAATTTCGACTGTGAAGAATCAGATAAGCAACTCGTAGGTCACAATTTCTAGATCTTACATAGTATCTAAGCATTATATCTAATGCATCTAAGCATGTCACTAAACTTCTGTCTGGTGAATCAATGAACTTCAAATAAGTCCGTCATTTAGGCTGGATTGTAAAGGTAGGAAATTCTTTGAGAGAGGGAGTGGTCTGCCATTTCCTCAAGAAACCCTTGATGGATCCAACTATATGGGAGACGTTTCATCCTGCTTTCAATCTTTCTTAAGAAAAGGTTGAGAAGTTGGTTGCACGGCAACTCCAGAGGATGCTGGAGGAGGCTGATCCTCTGTACCCCCTTCAGTTAGATTACAGGCCTGGGATGGACTGAGACAACACTGATCCTATTTGTGGATGTCTTCTGGCAGGAAGAGGACAGAAGTAGTGTGCTTATCCTTGCTCTTGAACTCTCAATGGCTTTTGATACCATTGATCATTGTATCCTTCTGGACCAATTCAGGGGGTTAATGAGTTACAGTGTTATAGTGGGTTCTTCCCCTTCTTTCAGGACCAGTTCCAATCAGCGTTGATGGGATATGGAGATCGTTTTAATTCTGAAAAGATGCATCTTGAATATAATATGCAACTTACTGTGAGGTAATCCTCTTGTTTTTGCTGATTAAAAAAGCATCATTGGTGAGGGAGTTCAGTATTATGGCTGGATACAAGATGTACTTTTCAAAACACTGAAGCCACACATACAGTCTCTCAAACCACATTAAGTGAGCAGCAGCTGAATAATAATAATAAAAAAACTCTTTATGAAATCATGTGCAATACCAATAACAAATAGCATCTAACTTTCATATAAGCTATTAAGGGATTAATAGTTTTATACCATTATTCATTCATTTGAAATAATGTTAGTGCTTCAAAATATTCATATAATGAGGATATTGTTCTTCCTGAAAAATATGAAACATGAACTAAAATCCGCCGAAAACATTCTGATCATCTGAATAATGAGATGTCCATTAAAGACTGCCCAAGAATATAAGTAACCCTGAATAAGTAGCATATAAGTATTCTGTAAAGTGAGAGTTTAAACAGCTAAAAGAGACACCATAAAAAAAGGCCACTTGCTATTGGGAGGCACAAAAAGCTGTGGACTTGTAAATAGGTAGCAACCAAACAATAAACTCAGTTGCACTATGGAATTTGCAAGCACAAAGAAAACCCAATATTTTAAGAGCTAAAATTTATTGAACTGAAAGCCATCAGTTCAGAAATAAGTTTTGTTCAGAACTGTGATATATGAATGGTTTTTTCGCCCATGTTTATTTTTATATTTCCCTATAGCTTACATAAGAGTTTTTTGTTTGTTTAGCTGGACTGCAGTACTCAGCTGACTTTGGGTACTCAGAAAATTAAGCAGGCCTGAATCTCTTCACTAATTGGAAAGGAGACCATGAGGAAATCCTAAACTCTAAACTCTAGATTAGACTGGAAAGTGGGAAAAACACTCCAGAAGGTGGTAATGGCAAATTATTTTTGTATTGTTGATAAGAAAACGACGCCAATATATTCATGAAGTTAAAAGGAATTGAGACTGACTTGGATACATTTGTTTTAATTTGAAATATATTTAATCTTGTAATGTATAGATTTGTAATAGATTAAAAATAGAATAATTGATGTACCGTATTTATTATGCTAAGAGATCACAGGACTGTCTCACATCTTAAATATATATGTCCTGTTATTAAATTTAAATTTATGTGGATAATGTTTTCTTGGTTCTCCCTTTGTCGTTCTGCAAGAATCACTGGGCTGTAATTATTATGTGAATTTCCTGAGTATGCTCTATATCAGGGGTGTCAAACTGCCGGCCGGTGGGCCGGATGCATCATAGCGAAACCGTACCCACCCCATTGCCAGCAATGGCACAAAAGTCGTGACACATCACGACACGTCACGTGATGTTGCAAGTTTGACACCCCTGCTCTATATTCATGATATTGTTTGGAAGTTATTTTTTCTCTTATAATAGATTCTTATTAAGATATTGTGTTTTCCCCCTATACAAAATCAGTTGTCAGCTTGATTTTGAGAAGAGACTGAGATAATGGAAACATCCCATTTTCTGACATCCTTATCACCTAACGTGTCAAAAACATACAAACAGAGTCATTAAAATGTAGACCCATCAAAACATGTCAGGAAGTTTCTAAATTGAAGTGAGTTTAGAGCCCCTGAAGACAGCCAGTTAGTGAAAAGTCAGGTTGCTTCTAGTTGAGAGATTTACAGGAGAACTAAAACAACTGTAATTTTAGAGATATTTACAGCTATCCCTACTTCTCAACTCAGCAGCTGTTGCAATTCCAATATCATGCTTATTATTTGGGAATAATAAAAAATAAAATAAAATATTAATAATGAAATGTGCTATTTCCTTTTAAGTGTTATGTGGTAAACCAAAATTATAATCTTATTATAAAAGCTTAAACCTGTATTTTGCCAACGCACAAACATAGGGCTTGCTAAAATTAAGTTTATTAATATACTTAAAACTATATAGTTGGTTTCATAAAATTATATCAATCCATAATGTTATCCAAGGGCTAATTTAGACAATGATCAAACACTTGAGAATTATTAGAATTGTTTCCTATTTTGACTTCTAGTAGATTACAAAGTTAGTTTCTCCAAATATTATTTTTGAGTGCAGTGTATTTATAATTATAAATACCCTTATCACAGTTCACTTTACATTGAAACTAAGGTTTCCTCCACCTGGTATCTTTAACAGTGTGTTAGATCTCAACCTCAAGTCAGCATAGTCTTTACTGTCTCAAAGTTATGGGAATGAAAATCCAACATATCTGGGAAACCCCAACTTAAGGAAGGTTAGTTGATGAGTTTTATTGAATAAAAGCTTATCAGTATAGTATTCATCCTGAAGACTGAGCTACAAATGATAAAAGAAAATAATAATAAAAAAACAGCTGAGAGAACAAATTACCAAATTGCCTGCAAATTCAGCAAACACCTTCCATGCATAGCAGTTTGGAACATACCAATATGAAGGGTATTGTGATTCTTGCAATGTATGTTCTCAAGATATTTAAGAATGACAAACATTACCGCTAAGTGTAGCTACCATGTTTGAACAGCAAAAATCCCAAAGGTCTACAGCATGAGAATGGCGAGAAAAGATTAGTTTTCTTCATTTCTTTGCTATAATCTCTTACTTCACAGGATTTTAGCTGTCAAAGTATGGTAGCCCTATTCTATCACAGGCTGCTATTTCTTGGGCAGGCTCCCGTTGCCCCATGTCCTTCTAAATGGGTTGGGATTTCAATTTCTAGAATGCCTAGTCAACTGGGCTGAATCCATGCTGGCTGGAAATTCTAAGATCTACAGTCCCAGGTTTAGATGGAATTGGTTGGGAAAAAGTGCTCTATAGCAACTACTGAGAAGGTTCACCTTTTTGCTGTATTATAATCCCTGCACCCATTCATTTACTTTAGAATCAGAATCAGAATAACAGAGTATGAAGAGACCTTTTAGGCCATCTAATCCAGTGGTTCTCAACCTGTGGGTCGGGACCCCATTTGGGGTCGATTGACCATTTCACGGGGGTCGCCAAGCAAGGCTGTCCGCCATTTTTTTTGTCCGCCATTTTTTTTCCTTTTCCGGCGGGTGCCTTACCTCCCTTGGGCTGGGCCAGCTGGTGGTCGGCCTGCTCTGTCTCTGCCGCTTGCCAGCTACGCCTCGGCCGGCACAGGGGGCGGAACCACGCATGCACGGCGCTCCCGGGCAAGGAAAGTCCTCGACTTACGACCGGTTGGGTAGTCCTCGACTTACGACCGGTTTAGTCCTCGAGTTACGACCGGTTTAGTCCTCGACTTACGACCGGTTGGGGTCGCGGCATTAAAAAGGTTGAAAACCACTGATCTAATCCTGCCCAAGCAGAAGACCCTACATCATTTCTGACAGATGGCAGTCCAGTCTCTTCTTGAAAGCTTCCAGTGATGGAACTCCCACAACATCTGAAGGCAAACTGTTCCATTGGTTATTTGTTCTCACTGTCAGAAAATTTCTCCTTACTTCTAGGTTGAATCTCTCCTTGATCAGTTTTCATCTGTTATTCCTTGTCTGGCCTTTAGGTCCTCTCTGTGACAGCCCCTCAAACATTGTAACACTGCTATCATGTCTCCCCGGGTCCTTCTCTTCCTTAGACTGTAACTGTTCTTAATATGTTTTAGCCTCCAGTCCCCTAATCATCTTTGTTGCTCTTCTCTGCACTTTTTCTAGAGTCTCAACATCTTTTTTATAGTGTGGAGACCAAAATTGGTTGCAGTATTCTAGGTGTGGTCTTACTAAGGCTTTTATAGAATGGTATTAGTACCTCATGTGATCGTGATTGAATCCCTCTGTTAATGCAACTTAGGATTGCATTGGCTTTTTTGACTGCCGCCGCACACTGTTAGCTCATATTTAGTTGATTGTCCACTAAGATTCTGAGATCCCTCTCACAGTTACTGCTATTAGGCCTGGTTTCACCCAATCTATATGTGTACTTTTGGTTTTTCTTGCCTAAGTGTAAGACTTTTCTTTTCTCTACACTGAATTTCATTTTGTTAGATAGGGCCCAGTATTCAAGTCTGTCAAGATCTGTCTGGATCTTGAGCCTATCATCTAGGGCAGGGGTAGGGAACCTTGGCTCTTTTATGACTTGTGGACTTCAACTCCCAGAATTCCTGAGTCAGCATGGCTGGTTCAGGAATTCTGGGTATTGAAGTCCACAAGTCATAAAAGAGCCAAGATTCCCTACCCCTGATCTAGGGCGTTGGCTATTCCTGCCAGCTTAATCACTTTAACATAGTGATTTTTATTTCTGTCTAATTATAACTTCCTCTTTACTTCATGATTCATAATAATGTTCAAAAATATCATATTAACTTTAATGTAAAGCATACTAAACAGTGTAATTTACACATTTGTATTGGGGTGACCTAATGTTTTACATACCTCTTAATTCTCTCTGCCGATATTCCTTATTTTTAAGGATAGGGTGGGATATCCACATCCATGGATGATGTTTGCGAAGTTGAGGAAGTACGTAGTGTGTTATGAATCCCACAGTCCACGCAAAAATGAAAAGCACCAGGCTGAGTAGTTGCTGGATTAAAAGGAAGCAGAAAAAGACTATAACACATGTCATATACTTAAACCATTTTTAATTTAAAATATTATCTTGATTAAAAAAAGTCAGTTAAAAATGCAATTTTCCCCAAAAACACGTTATTGAAAAGGTAATTGAGAAATGAAAAGAAGGGCTTTATTTTTGTTTAATAAAATGTTTTATTTTATGAAAATTTTCTAATACTGTAGTTGAAGGGGAAAAGAACACAAGAAATAAATGTTCTAGTAAGACATTTGTTTGTTCACAGCCAAAAGACATAATTGTGCTGAGGGATAAAATGCAGGAAATGTTTTATGTGGAATGCTAGTGGACTGCAAAAGGAGGAGCTCAAATTGCACAAAACACAAAAATGGGAAAAAATTATATCCTTCAATTTACTAAAACTTGATAATAAATAAATGTAGGAAAGTAATAAATGTAGGAAAGTAGGACAAATATATATTGGTAAACACACCAAAGTTATTGTAAATCATAAATGAATTTGTAGGTGTGGTTCCATATTTTGTATGTAATAGGTAGAACTGCCTGTCATGTTGATTATCCCATTCTTGTGGAGACATCCATGTCACCGCTATGTGGCTTTAGCTCTCAGCGTACATTAATGCTCCACAAAATGATCTTGCTTGGACATAAAATTAACCCAGCCTTCCCTGGCTTGGTTCCTTCTAAAAGTACTGGACCACTGTTTTTTTTTTCTTTTTTGATCCTTGATAGAGGCAAGAATAATCCTAATATAGAATATATGGAGGGATTCAGATTTGGGGAGGCTAACCTAATATTTTAAAAAATAAATTTTGAATGTCTTTATTTTTACTGTAACAAAACAATTTTTCATCTTCAAAAGAACTTTAAAAAATGAAAAATGCAAACTAAGAAAGAAAAGAAAAAATCTGCCTTATGCTATATACTTATCTATAGTCATTGGTCCACCAATGAATTCACTACTATAATATAAACAATGCAAGATATTATTGTAAGATATCACAAAATATCTGGCATAACACATATTGCTGTGTGTTTTGATTATTAGAAAATATTACCTTTTCAAAAAAAGAAATGGTAAGGTCATACATTTCCAAAACCATTTTCTGACACCTGGCTAATCTTATTTTAAAAAGCTCATCCCTGCAGTGATAGAATAATGTTCACTTCAGTTTTTAAATATCTGCAGTTCACTGTTATACCCAAATTCTGAAACTATGGTTCTACAAAAACAAGAAAGCTTTATAACCTTCAGACTGAAGTGTGCTTGTTTCAGGAGATTATCATAAACGCCAGCTATGCCACTAGGGACAGAACATCAGGTATGGACCCAGGTCCCTCTGGGTTACTGCTAAAATGATGAACAAAGACCAGGTGTATTTGATACATGCACCTTGTCAGATGAGCTGTCAGTCAGGCATAGACCACTGTAAAGTATAGTATGCTTCCTTGTCCTGACAGTGACCAGTCAGCTATAGATAGTCCTTGACTTATGATCATAACTGAGCCTGGCAACTGCAGTCATAAAAATTGTAAAGCAGGTCATCATGTGACTGATCCAATTGTAGAAACCTTTTTTTGTGGAAGTTGTTAAGTGAATGTGACAGTCATTGTTAATTATGGGACTTTTTTGCTGGAAACTGGAAGTAAATGCCCATTTCCAGCAAAACAATAATAAACTGTGATCACAGGACTGTGGGGTGCTACAGTCATAAACGTGGGACAATTGCTGAAAGCCCAAAATGCAGTCACATGACTATGGGGAATGTGGGAACTTTGAAACTGGGTCAAGTAGCTTTTGGGGATCCATCGTAACTTTCATTTGTAAGACAAGGTCTACCTGCACTGTCTTGAAGCATATCAACAATGAGAGCCATAAGTTAATAAGGACAGTGAGTGCCTTTACTGATGAGGTATTTGCAAAGCAGAAAGCAAGAAGTTGCTAACCTAGGCAAATACCTTAAATTTTAACATAGACTGTGAAGGGCTGTTGCCCTACCTCAGCCCCATGCCTTTTTCTGCTGCCAATGAGACAGAGGGAAAGGAAAGGGATGATTAATGGTAAGGAGAAAACAGGTGATAGTTAGAAGGAATGAAATGGAAAGAATGAGGTGGCAGACAGTGGGTGGCATTAAAGATGTAATGACAACGATGCCCTTGACGTGATGACCCGGTGTCTGGAGGCCGTGAGGGTCTGGATGGGGAGGAACAGACTCAGGCTCAACCCTTCCAAGACCGAGTGGCTGTGGNAATGAGCTGCCCCCAGAGATCAGGGTGATCCCTGATCTCCCTTCCTTCCGCCGCGCCCTAAAGACATGGCTATTCCAACAAGCGGGACTGGCCTAGGGCAATTTTTAGAGGGGTTTTAATCATATTTTAATCGGACAATATTTAAATATTTTTTCTTAATTGATTTTAATTCTGTAATTGTTATTTATGTTTTTTAAATTGATTGTCAGCCGCCCTGAGTCCGCAAGGAGAAGGGCGGGATATAAATTTAATAAATAAATAAATAAAAGGAAAAGATGTAGGTATAACAGGTGATATATAAAACATTTTCAGTTCAAATAACAGCAGATTCAAAGCTTCCTACTTGAAACAGGCTCGGATCCGAATCTAAATTATTTTAGACCATTCAGGATGTGCCTTGAGCCCCAAGTATCTCTGTTTGGAGTCTGACGTGTTCCATTTTGAGTTTCAAACACTTCCAATACGAATGAGATGGCTCGTGGTGCACATCAAACCAAATGTTTCAAACCTGAACCCAGCATTTTTAAATTCAAAACAATCCAAATTTAAAATATTCTGCAGACCCCACCCAGAGGCGACCTACTTTTTTTTTTCTCTTGGATCCTGCTTCACTCAGTCCCCACTATTAGCCCTCTCCTTTTCAAGTTGTTTTTCCCCCCTGCCAAACTGACTTTCCATTTCAATGCAGCAAAGTAGGGCAGCTCTGAATGTCTCAGAGTTGACCATTTTCCTCAACATTCAGAATGTTCATACATATTCCCAAACATAACGTTACCTCAGCCCTGTTGGTGCCAAAGGATTTGTTACTGCTGCCACGAAATCTCTTAGTGCCATTATGCTATAATTGCTATATATTTGTAGCTAGACTCTTAATGTGTGAAACGATATGAAACCTCATTACCCATTCCCTCTTACAAGCAAATATTTCTTCCCCTCCTCTGATTTTTAAAGCAATCTGAAACAGTATCTAATTGCTCTGAATAATAGATATATTGTCTTAAAGAAATAACAACACAGAAGGAAAGAAATGGTAATACTAACCCCTAATGACAAGAAAACGGTACTGGCGCTGACTGCAAAGGAGAGCACAGCAGCCACAGAGCACATGATGAGATCTGATCTCAGGGTTTCCCTCTGCAAATACAATTTTTAAAATATAGACATACAAGTAAAGACTCATTAGATTTACAAAATCAAACTACTTCTTCCTCTGCAGTTAACAGTTGCATAATAATTACAGGAGTCTTGGCTTTAAAGAATCCCCTCCCCTTGTACTTGTTTAATGTTCAGGCCAATGTGTTGGTAAAGCTTCTTGAATCCAGATACATGGTTTATCAAGCACACACCCTCCACGAGGACATTTTTTTTTTTAAAGGAGGTTATGCAGGAACAATCTTTAATGGACTCAGACTGGGAAGAATTGACTTCACTTTCAGATACAACCAACATGTTCCTAATGGCCATATAATCGGTATGATTGAGGATTGTTGTAAGGCAAAAATGAATTAATTCTTTGCTGGGAAGGAAAGAAAAAAGGAAGGAAGGAAGGAAGGAAGGAAGGAAGGAAGGAAGGAAGGAAGGAAGGAAGGAAGGAAACAGGCGCTGTTCATAATTTCTTATATTCTGAATTCTTTACGTAAGCACGGTGAACACTTTTGCCAATAATACCTATTTTCCTTGGTGGATATGGGTACAGAGCAGATAATTTTATCAACAAAACACTCTGAACAATTTCTAATGTGATTATGAATTTGGTCCACTGATCCTAAACTTTATACACAGCAAATGTCTCAAAAACTGCTTTCCTGACTGGGAGGGGAGTGAAACTGAATTATTATCCCTCTTCAATATAAATAAAACTATGTGTCTTATAACTGTCTTCTAAAATTCCCTAAGGAATTACCAAAATCTCTGCAAGAACTCAGTGCAAGCAATGTAGAGGGAAAGGATTAATTTGTCTTCGCTAGAGCTGTATAACACTTTGAACTCGAAGGCAAAAAGACACTTCAAAGCTGCAGGCCAGGAAGCATAGCACTAATCAACAATTTTGGCAGTGGTTTGCTCTCCAAGTTTGTTTCAGTTTAGTTTCTGAACCTTTCCTTACCAGACTAGATAACATCAGCAGCAGGATTTTCTTGTCCTATTTTCCTTAGCTCATAAATGTCTTGTGTGGTCAGTTGGTCGTGTGATTGGTTGTTCATTTGGAGCTATATTTAAATTCTGAACAGCTGATTGGTTCTCTTGTTGATTGGTCATTTGAATGATCTGGTTTCTTACGTATTCATATGCTGGATCTAGATCAATATGCTTGTTAATTGCTCCTTTGGAGAATACCGGGCTTCAATAAATTCACGTGTGTGACTGGTGTTGGCGTGCCCAGTGATTTTTGTTCCTTCCCAAATCGAACTGGGATGTGCTTCCAAGGAATCACGCAGCACTTGTGGAGTCTAGCTTGACTATCTCAGGAAAGGATTCAGCTGCCTTAAGAAATTCCAGAGAGGTTCTAGCTACATGCCCCATGCACCCAAAGTTCCTTTATACCTTTGAATCCAACTACAGCAATAGTCACACCATTGCTCTGCCAGCTCCATTGTTACTGCTGCAATGCATCATTAGCTGCTGAACAGCTGGCTGATGTGCTAGATGTGAAGTCTGCTCTTGACCAAGTTCCCTAAAATTTAACAATTGATTCTCACAAGCCAGTATGAGTGACTCCAACATCCTACTGTCTCTGCTAGCACTGCTGGGCTAATGAAGATCAAAGGCCTGCCGTAATTGCTTTGAATTTTAAAAGTATTAAAACTAACCATTCTCTTGTATCCTAAACTGTTCATATTTGCTAGAGAATGGTTACTAATGTTCACATGGAAAAAGTAGGGTACAGTGTGTCTCTAAAATTGTACAAACTATTACCCCCCTCCCCACTCCCATCGTTGGCTCAAAGTTCTGCTCCATTGTGAAATAAGAGAAGCGTGGATGACAAAGCAGGACTTCTCTGTATTAGTTCTCATATAGTACAATGTTCTGTTAGAAATGGTGGAAAGTATTTGTAGCTGGAGTGGTAGATGTTGGTGGTTTGTTCTCCGAGCTTGTTGTTTAGTTTCTGAATGTTTTGTCACCAGGCTATGTAACAGCATCAGTGGAGTTTCAATTGAAGTGTCTTGTTTCAGTTCTCTTCTGCTTTTATAGGTCTTATGTGGTCAATTGGTCATGTGACTGACTTGTCACGCCATGAGAAGCTCATCTGGTGGAGGAGGAGTCTAGGTGCACTTTCCCCAACTAATAAATGTTGTCAAAAAGCATAAGCTTTTTTGGGATAACATACAACTGCAAATCACACCAAATTCCAATTGCATAAAAAACCCCTCTCTGCATGAATGCACCCAAATGGATTCAAGATTTAACTGGATTTCTGCATTCTGCATTTACCAAGCAGTTCCAAAAGCCAAGAGGTGTGTCTACTCCCTCAAAGGCTGTTTTTGTATTGCAGCTGGTTTTATTACTACTAACTGAGGCTATTTTTTTTCCCTTCCCCAACCCACCCTTCCACTCCCCCCTCCCTCCCCCCTCACTTCCCAGTGCCAATCACAGGGTTAACAATAAAATAATCATACTCTAACTAACATTAATCAACTATTAAAATAACATATCTATAACCTCCTTTAACTCTCTTTTAAACAAATATACAGTTATTAAAAACAATAATAATAACATCAC